AGCTGGGCGGGTGGGAAAAAAAACCCGAAACCCAAAGCTGACAACCTTGAAAGAGCTGAGGAAGCTCGAGAATTTGCTCTTGGATGAGCAGGGAGCTGCACCATTGGCTGCAGTCTTTAGTTTGCCCACCGTTGCCTTCAGGGCTCAGGGGCTAATGAATGGCAAAGAGTTTAAGCGTTATAGGCCTTAGGGCTTACAAGGATTGAAAGCAAGGCCGGAGCTTCCAAGAGACTTGCTGAAGTAAGTCATGCTGGATGTCACTTGGGAGTTCGTTCCTGAACCCCAACTTGACCCCAAGGCCTCGCAAAGGCTCCTTTGCTGTAAGCGTGCGGAGTCGTGATGCGTTTTTTGTGCGAAGTCTATTATCAGCTGGGGATACTACGCTCAAACCCTGAAGCCTGAACCTTAAACCCAAATGCCTCGCACTCTCTGATCGAGGGTTGACGGTTTCGTGCTTCAGTGGTTTTAGCTTTACCCATAGGCCCCATAGCAGTTCCTTCTTGGGATTACTTTATAGAATTCTAAATATGAACCCCCAAAAAGGAACTACTATGGGGCCTATGGGTGTCTTGGTTTAGGTTCCCTAAACCCTATAAACCCTAAACCCTAAACCGTCTTGGGGTTTGGGTTCAGGGTTTGCAAGGCTCGGTTTCAGGGGTTTCGTCTCTCGGGGCCTCTTGGGGCGGAGGGAGCTGCCGGGCGCGACGAGGTAAAAAAACGGTGCAAAAGGCCCTAACCCTCCAGGCACCTACTTATAGGACCCCCATAGGGGCTCTAGTACCCTATATAGTAGGTAGTGGGGAAGAATACGTACATAAACCAGCTTGGGCATTGGTGTGCTTCTTTGGATGCCCTTTCCTGAATACCCTAATGTTCGGGGTTACGTATAACGGGGCCCATTTTTCTGAACCCTAAACCCTAAACCCTAAACCCTAACTGTCGAGGTGAAGATCATCGACTTTGGCTTCTCCACCATCGTCCCACCGGGGAAGAAGTTGAAGGTCTTCTGTGGCACTCCCTCCTACATGGCCTCCTTGGCTGAGTTTAGAAGTCGTAGAAGTTTAGGGTAGACGGGGGTTGGGATGAACCCCAGTTTCCTTGGCTCTATAGGGTCGAACGACTCGGTCTTTAGAGTCCGTTTGCGGTCTAAGGTTTCCACAGACAGGAGTTCTGGATGACCGGGTAATTAGCATGTTGGATGTCAGGATGCCGGGGTATCATGGTTTCGGAAGTTGGCCGTGGGAATGGACCGATTGTTCGCCCTGCTTCCAGACAATACACGTTACCCCGAACCCTATAGGCGCGCTGATCCTCCCCTGCGATCCTGTTCAATGTGATCTGCGTGAAGTCATCACACATTCCAGACCGACAGGGTTGCATGGCCCAGAAATTTCGCCTGCGGCGCTTGAGTCTCGAAAGCCCCTACACTGTGCTTTCAGAAAATGGGGACCCGAAATGAAGGGATGCTTGTTTCAACGACCCCTAAGCACGGTAGCCCACAGTTTTAGGAAGGTCCCCTTGAAGCCGGATCAGTCCGAAGCCTAGGCTCCAGAGATTGTGGCCAGGAAGGAGTACACAGGCCAGGCTCCCTGCCACGATGCGGACGTCATGCGGGGTTGTGTTACAACTAGGGCCGCCCTCTCAGGGGTCCTTATGAGGAAGGGGGCGACAGGGTCTACATCCAGCGGGGGCATAGCTGATGCCAAAACCTTTTACTTGGATTAGCAGGAGTGCCTGTGGGCGGTCGCCATGTCTTTGACTTGGCCGTTGAGTGCAGGCAGTTTGATGGATTTGGGCAAGAGCCGAACCATGTAGTCGGGTGCCAGGTTTCGTCACTTTGGGCTCGGCCACAATGATCAGGAACGTGGGTGTTTGTGTGTGTGTGTGTGTATAGGCTCAAAGTCGTGCGGAGTTGCTAGTTCTGCTTTCAGGCATTCTACTTGATGGGCGGATTTTTGAGCCTTCCTGAGACTTGTCTTGGCAAGGCCTGTCCTAGGAAAATGGGCAACTATAGCTTTACGACCTTGTTGCTACATGACAACTCACCCAAGAAGTACTGCCAAATCTTTCTGGCGCACCCAACTTTTGCCAACCCGGAATTCTCTGTTTGCAGGCTTTTGCGCGGATATCTGGGCCATGGGCGTTCTGCTCTATGCCCTCCTTTGTGGTAGCTTCCCCTTCCGCGGGCAAAATGACCGTGCACCGGCGAAAGCATTGATTTGATTTTTGAACTCCCGGCTTACACTACAAGTAAGGGATTGGGTGGAGATCGGGGCGAAAGCAGAGTATTCCGGCTTCAAGGCTTAGGAGTACACGTGGTCTGATTTCGGATGTAGGGATGTACACGGCAGAAAATAACAGACCCAAGAAAGACCCCCTAATGCTGTAAGATCCTCGACCCTAAACCCCAAACCCTAAACCCTAAGCAGAAGGGCTCCTAGTGACTATGTCTCCCCGTCCAATTTCTGCAAGGATGGCCCCCAAGCGAAACACGAAGCTCGCAGCCAATTGGAAGAGCCCCACCTTATCAGCTTAAGGCTTATGCCCCGTTCGAGCTCCATACATAATAATCTGAATCTTTGAGCGCCCGCAAAAATCATGCTAAGAAGCCCTTCATAATTCGAGATTCATCAAGACTTATCCCTCATTACGTGGTATACGGTATTGGGCTCTTTGGGAACGGTTCTGAGATCCGTGTTCATACATTCTGGTTATGCTGTAGTCGGTTGAAGTTTCGCACAGCAAGCCGTTGGCAAAGAAACAAACCCCAACGCGACATGTGATTCCTACTGGCGGGAGAAAAGGCCTCCCCCCTTTGGTCCCTACCCAGAGCCCCATGAACCCCTAAACCCTGCAAGCCTTAAACGTTTTAAAGCAGAGGCGTGAGTAACAAGTAATTTTGTCCAGTGCTCTTGTCCCCATGTTTTTTATACTTCCCTATAGCCCCCAGCCTTCTTGATTATTCAGGCCCCCACATGAGTGGTGAAAAGCAAAAACGTGTACTCCGATACTTTTGGTAGTAAACCGCCTGGTCGGAAAAAGAAGCAAGAGTCCTGGACACAAAACCCCAAGCGTTAAACTCGTAGAAAGACGGACCGAGGCGACCTCTACCGGAAAATCGTACGAGGAGTGTTTCACATCCCAGCCCCGCGGCATATCTCAGCGCTGTTACGGGTTTAAGGTGTGTCACAAGTTCAAGATTTCGAGCAGATTGTCCCTTTTTTTTTGGGGGGGGGGGGNNGGGATTCAGGCCTGGTTGCTCACTTGGGCTTTTTGGCGGAGCTTGGTCTTACGGGCTTCGTGCATTGAAGGTAGGTTGTTGTTGGGTGCTCAGCATTCCAGCTGTTGCTTTTTTAGTCGAAGCTTGTAGTGAGAAAGCTATGGAGTCGGTTTCAAACGCTTGAAGCCTGTGATCATGATCCACCGCTACCAACCGGAGCTTTTCGCATTCAGGGGAGAGTTGAAGCAGCTTCCTGTTCTGGGTAAGCTGATACTGCACAGGACCAGGAGTTGCATCCCATTCGCAGAGGGTCCAATGTACCTATATAGTNNTGTAGGGTTTCTATATCAGGAATTGCTATTATGATTTAGGGAAGTATCCCCCATAACAGTACATAGGACCCCTTGGGATTGGAGCGCCACTGACAAGAGTTGCTTTTTTTCCCTCTGCATTTTGCGGCAGAGGGCTTTTGGGTTAGATCGCAGTTCTGATCTTCCTGACATGCAGCCGTGCGCCAAGGAATTCGTTGGTGATGGTGCCAAGGCCGTCTCAGCCCTAAGCCCGACGCCCCTCAATGGGTGGTTATCTAAACTAGGGCTCCTTTGGGGTTCCTTTTTATAAGGGTGCCGTACTATATTGGGGACCCAAAAAGGGACCCTAGTTTACAGAACTAGCCAAATCCTATTTCTCTTGCATATCTCAAGCCCGTTTTGTTGCTTCACCAGTATTTCGTGAAGCTGTCACCTGCACTTGTGAACCATTCTCGGTCGTTTTCTCGGCTGCATGACTGCAGGATTGAACCACAAACGTCCCAAAAAGCCATCATGAGCGCCCATATCGAGGAGCCCGAAACCCTATTTCGCCAGGCTGGTCCGAAAAGAATTCGCCCTTCACGATACATCCATGGTCCCACAAGCCCAAAGTTTCCACGAGCCCAGCGCTTTCTTTGAGTCCTTGGTGTCCATGAGAGGCTGAAACGGCTACAGGGCAAGAGTGCAGCCTGGGTCACCGCAGCATTGCATGATCTAGGGGTCTGAATCCTACGTCGATTCTTTTGGGTTGGGCGACGTTTGAATGAGTAGCGCGATATATCTGGGGCCCCGTAGACTTACCCTTGCAGGAACCCTGGTTTTTTGGAATCTTCGGTCATTCTAAAACTTAGGGCCCCTTGCTGGGTCACCAAAATAGTACCGCCCCCTTATAAGAAGGACCCTCAAAATGGGAGAGAACTCCCCAGTATAAAAAAGGGGCCTTAATAATTCGAATAGGGTTTGGGGGATTCTATGATACTATAATCATATTAAGGAACCCCCCAAAGCCCTATTCTAGTCATTCAGGCCTCTATACATTATGCAGGTTGAAGCCTTAGAGCTTCCAAGGGGTGACGGAGTTCATGGGCCGCTTCATCTTGTACCCTATACTATAATGGTTTAGGGTGTAGCGGTAATATAATATATGATATAAGATACTATAATATACTATATGAATAATACTATCACAGAAAAATTATACGACTATCATATTCCACGCGTTCCGCATTCCAGCCGAGGGATGGCTTCTGGGTTGATTGATTCGGGGTTTAGAGCCCGACGTTCCACGGGACAAGGCCCAAGCCGACGAAACAGATCCTAGAGTAGGGGCCTTATAATGATTACCAAGACTATCCTGGGGGCTCCTTATGATACTTATAGTATAATATCGACTCTCCGACTACAGAAGCCCCCCTAGCCGGGATAGTTTTAAAATCGAGCGAAGGCACATAAAGACCAAAAGCCTAATATAGAAGCCTAAATAATTACCAATACTATTATGTGGGGTCCTTAATATATTTATAGTATAGTGGGCCCCAAAACCCTATTCTAATTATTAAGGCCCTTGTAGTACCCTACCCATCATAGGCATAAGCCCATCTCCCCGAGCTATGTTTTCTTTCATGGTCAGCTTGTTAGCAGGCCATGGTGCAGCGTGCGCTGACCGCCGATATGGCCAGACGGCCTACTGTGGAGGAGCCCACATTTGTGGGTTGAGGGTTTATAGGTTTGCTATTCATTGGGCCTTTCTGGCGAGGACCGACTGTCGGAGGCGGCCTCATTTGGCGCTACAGGGTTCAGGCTTCATTGTGTTTCAGCTAGGATTTCTCGCTTTACTCTGCGTAAGGATGACGATACTATTCCCACATGTTGCCGCAACCGCGCCCGGCCCATTAAAGGCTTCTTTAAGGGATCTATAGGGACTATAGGGTTCCCTTAAAGGCTTCTGAAGATTCGTAAAGGTCTCGAGACCCCAACCCAAGCAGGCCCCCGTCTTACCCTGACCTGCTCTGTTTTGATGCGTCGCAGAACTTGGCGGTTTCTAGGGTTTGGGGCTGGCGGTTTTGCTAGGGTTCAGGGTTTAAGAGTCTTCGAACTACGAAGACCCTTATGCTAACCCTAAGCCCTAAACCCCTAAACCCTATTCTGTAGGCTATTGTAGGCTCTTCTCTCTCTCGCTCTCTCTCTCGCCAGGACTTGCTGTCTGACCAGTGGCTGTCGGCACATCGGGAGGACTCACATGCCAGTCGCTGGGCCCCTTAAAGGGACCCTTGGGGTTATATAGGGGCTTTATGCGACTATATAAGGGGTATACAAGGGTTATACATATATTTATATTTATATATATATATATATATGGTATTTGGATATGTCCCTTCTAGGGTTCCTTAGCAATGATGCAACTATTATGACTCACCCATCTCTTCGGTCAAAGATGAGGCGAATTCGGGTGTTTGTGTTTTCAAGGTTTCGGGTTGGGCTTGGGGGTTTGGGTTTCGAGATTTTGGATGTTAGTCGCTGGGGTTGAAAGCGTTTAGCCGACACCTTGTCAAACAGCTTTAGCAGAGCCTGGTGGGGCTTCTGGGTTTCATGTTGAGGTGGCGTCAGGGGTTGGTTGCTCCTGCATTTAGGAGTTTAGTGGTCCTGAAGAACGGATGCTACAAGGATCGGTGTAAGATGTTGTAAGGGTCCTTTCAGTTTCATTCGCCCATGTAGTTTCAACGTTGGATGAACCGAGGCAAGGGTAGCACCAGCTACCAGCCCAATAGCTCAACAAGCTCGACGTTCACAACCACGGTGCTTGACTTCTTTGGGGGGCGTTGGGATAGGCGATTTCACGTTTGCGGCTGTAATTGGCATGCTTCACCTCAGGTATCTTCAACGTCAGGTTTAGGGCCCTGGATCAACATTCGTGGACTCGGGTGTGCAGTCAAGTTCATGGGTCAGGGTGTGTCGTGTGGCATTGTTGGTACCTGTTGGTACCGTGGCTCGTGACATGGAGCTCGACACCAAAACGGTCTTGCTGGGATGCTCATTGAAGCGCCATGTTTCTTAACCGAACGGGTTGCCTCGGAACTGGTTCACGCAAGTCGAAGCTGCCTAGGGTGAGGATCTGCCCGGCAATGTTGCTTTTTTTGACTGGGACATGTCTGCTCCGAGAGGGCATTCGGCATATGAAGCCGTGCAGCCCATTGCTTAGAGGGCTTCTTGCATCTCAGAGTGTCTAGTCAGAAGTGCTGGACCCCCCCCCCCCCTGCCCTACGGTTACCTCCGGATGTTTTTTTCAGCACCCCAAACCCTGGTAGGAGGATGATCGCCCCTTCTCCTGCTTGGGTTCGTGATACTAATGACACCGGCCCTTTTCAAAGAACCTCTATAGGACTCTAGGGTGCTCCCAGACACCTAAGGTTCCAACCTGGCTTCTTGCCAGATCATCTGGACTTTATTATTTTGGGGCCATGCAAAGAGTAGCTGATTGAATCCAACTTGTTACGACAGAAACTTGGGCAGATGCGGAAACGGTAGACATCACAGGTATGCCTCGCAGGGTTTGTATAGGACTCGGAATGTCCATGAACTGAAGGCTTAGCAACCGCTTGGATTGATACAGCCCACGGAGGCTTGTAAAGCCTTACCAAAGCCCCTAACCTCTCACCCCTAAACACCCCTTATCCGTAAGCAGAAGCCATCAACACAAATCCCTCATAGCGAAGCCTTTTGAAGCTCCGATCATGGCAGTCTAAAGCCCCGAAGCCAGGCGTTTGTAACCCTTATGAAACCTTGCAAAGCGGTATACCTTACAAGACCCTGATATTACACCTTTGAAATGCAACCACCCAATTCCGATAATTGTTGGGTCCTGTGGTAAAGGCGCCCTCGAGCACCGGCCAGAGTGCGCGTGAAAGCTCCGGAGACAGTCCTCGCTCACGCAGCCCGGCTCTAGGGTTCGGCTTTTTGGGGGTTCGGATTCAGGTTCCAGAGGGTTTGGGAATTTGAGGAGTTTTGGGTTAAGAGGCCTGGATGCAAAAAGGATTTTTTGGGGGCTTAGGTGCGGTTTGGACTTTATGGGTTCGGTTTGGGGTTCCTTCCTGAGGTTTAGAGCTCGTAGGGATTAAGGCAATCATGAGAGAAGCTCTTGACCCTGGCCGCTGACCCCAGAAGATCTCCGGTGAACCAGGACTCAATCCAAATCTGAAAACCGCATGTCACATGCAGTTCATAGTCCGGGTTGCTCGCCAAGAGGGCATAGGATTTCGATTTAACTTCCCGTAACAACGCACTTACAAACATTGCCACGCGGCAAAATTGACCCAAAGACCATCTAATTAAGCTCTCAAGAGAGCTGCCCGGCTCAACCTACATCTTATAACTCCCAAAGGCCGACCCAGCCAAGTTAAGGCTATGCCTGCCCACCTCCTGCACCACCGCTTCTAACCGGAGCTGGAGATCATGAGGAGAAGCTGCGGCCCAAGATGTGGAATAGTATTTCGGGTTGAAGTAAGAGGCAGTTGACTACAGAGTGGAGCCTGTGTGCTATGATCATGCTTATGAAGTTATGGTTTAGTTTCTTTCTAGCCACGACCTGCTAGTCTTGCATTGTGATCCCCGGTGTGCAACTCATATGCCTTTTTGTGATTAGTTAAGCAATGGCAGCTGTAAGGGTGATTAGTTCTTTCCTTCAAAGCCGCATTAAGCAACGGTACCTACCTGTGGAGGGCCTTACACTCCTACACACCGCCTTTGTATTACTGTTGTGATTACTTAACTTCTACAAGTATTTCTATTGTGAGCACAATTACGATGATTACCACCATCTTTGTCCTTTTCTGTTTCGATTCTGAGGTATTGTTGTCATTACTATTATTTCTACTACTGCTACTAGCGCTATTGTTCTTGAACATCGAGGTCGACCGGTGCCACGGGAGGTTCCACGCCCCATCCACATCGAAGCGAGGCCGACAGCGCCAAGGCGCCTTCGGTCTTCGGGCGATTTAGAAACTTAGGACTTTTGGGGGGGTTTTGGGTTGAATAGAGGCGCCTTAAGAATTACCTAGACTATTCTGGGGGTTCCTCATTATAAATATAGTATAATATGCCCCAAAACCCTATTCGAATTTTTAAGGCCCCTATAGCAGGGTTTAGGGGAGCTTGGCTGAAGGAATTCAGGACTAACTATATTGCAGTCCCTGCTCGAAAAGGGTTTAGAGCCAACGCGTTTGCGACGGGGGTTCTATCAGGATGTGTAGACGTCCTCAGATACTAGATGCGCAGGGTTCTCAGGTATTGGGAGCTTAAGAGATGCTCAGATACTAGATGCATGGGGTTTCTAGGATTCTAGGTTTTGGAGCTTTAGGACTTTAGAGGTCTTTGTGTCCTTGGCACTAGGTGCTTGAGGTGCCTGATCTATGTAGACCCTCTCCATACGAAGGCTCCTGGGAAGTCATTCGCTTGGGGCCCATGTTGCGGTGAGCTCCGAGCTCCAGAGGGTTTAGGTATCATGCGATTTCGGGCTTCGGGCAGAAAGGGTCTATAGGCTTTATGGTGCGGATCGGGCGCCTTAGCCAAAACCCCGGAGCCCCTAACCCCAGCAGCCTAAACCTGAAAACCAAAGAGTTTGCTAAACATCATAAAGCCTAGTCGCTTTCGGGAATCCGATAATCAGACCCGGTAAGATTTGTTCGGGAATTCTACAAAAGGCGCTATGGAACCTGTACAAAGAACCCTGACACGAACCTTGCAAAAGACTCTGTAAACTTCTGAACCCCACAACGGATCGCTAAACCCTAAAACCCCTTTGAGGAGGCCTTAAAGTCTTAAAGTACATCGTAAACCCTATTTAGGGTTCCCCTAAACCCTAAACCTCATTGCCATGCCTGCCTTGTGCGAGTGTGTGAGTCGAAACCCTAAACCTTTAAACCCTAAATCCTAAATCCCTGGGACATGGATACTCTGTCGGAACGGATGGATGCTCTGTCGGAAGGGATCTACATGACGGAGGCACGGAGGGCGCGCAGACCTAAGCCGCGGCATCACACGGCAAACACGGGGTTGTTTGCATGTCGTGTTCTGCGGCGCCACGTCCGGTCCGAGGGGAAAATCCTAAACCTATAAGCCCTGAAGCCAAACACCCTATAGAGTCTTCTGTCAATGGTCGTTGGACCGGTATCGCTACAGACCTTGCCAGTCCGAGTGTGAGTGTCAGAAGAAAGGCACACACCCCACATGCAGGTACTATTCTGAGGGTTCCTTATTCTAATTATAGAAAAATGTGCCCCAAAAGCCTATTCTAATTCTTAAGGCCCCTACATTACTTGGGGGTTTCAGAAAATAGGGGACCCTAATATAGCACCCTAAATAGTAGGATCCTTATTATAAGGACCCCCAACTAGGATACCCTAATTTTCGGAAACTCCCACTTGGGAAGCCTGAATGGGAGCCGTGCCTAGCAGGCCATGGAGCCCTCGGTGACTCGTGTGGCCACTGCTGGGTCGCAGGCCTGGGGCCTTTGCAGCTGTGCGTGGTTCTTTGCGGGTTGAGGGTTGTGGTTTTTTCCTCCCATGGTTGGAGATTTCGTTGTTTTTGGTCAGGGTATTGGGCTTAGGGAGTTTTGTTAGGGTTTAGGGTTCAGGGTTCTTCAAGGGTTTGGGATTCTTTAGGTCTTTGGTGGTCTTCAACAGCATGATGTACGCTGACCCCTTTTGAAGTCCCTAGCACAGTCAGTTGTATCACAAGAATGCCCCCAAACCTTATATATCCTTCAATATAAGACTACCGCAAAATATCTCCAACCCGGACTCTGAAAGCCCTGATGCTACTTGAGCAGGCTCCGTGGGCTGAGGGTGTAGCAAACAAGCCCAGGGCTTTATAGACTCAATCAGGGTTCTGGAGTGCCTTCTATAGGGTTGAAGAGCTTAGCCGAGAGTTTCAATAGAGTTCGTACCGGTCCTGACTGTTCTCTATCGAGTGTAAGATTTCTATAAGGGTTAGAAATGTAGAGCAATGTCAGGCTTGAGGTTTTTTAGGTGGAGAGCTGCAGGGCTGTAATGATTTTGACACTGGTGGTAGTTGGGGTTTAGGTTTGAAGAGGTTTGGAGTTCAGGATTGCTCATAGGGTCATAGGGTTTAGGTAAGGGCCTGCATCAACGGTCAAGTCTGGAGGGAGTTTGGGTGTATTGACTTTCCAATGCTCAATGTATCAGATCATGAGGGTGGCTTGAATCTAGCGAGGTTGCTTCCCAGCTGTTCGTCGGAGCCTGTCTTCAAGAAGGGGTTACTTTGGGCCGGGCTGGGTAGGTGTTAGAAGTACTCAGAAGATTGGCTCAGTTCTTGGCTAAAGGATTCAGCCCCGAAGCTAACTTCCAAACTTCAAGACTCTTGCCTGCGGATCCAAACAATACAAACACTAGGTTATAACCCCATACACACAGGGTAACCGGGTACAACCCTAAGACAGTAGGTTATTGGTTCCACGCCAAGCCTCCAAGCCAAAATGTCTCAGCCGTGAAAATCCTGATTCTTCGGTTGCGCGTTTGGCGTCTACATGTGCAGATCCGATTTCATAGTCCGAACCCTAATGAGCCCCACCCGGTGTCGCTGAACCCGAAGTCCCGGCAAAGCCTTCACGGACAGGCTTCTGAGGGAATGATCTCGGAGGAGCGATACAACAGAAGAGTCGAAGAAGAGGCATGGCTTTGTCGCTGTAGGGCCGGGGGTTTGGGGGGGGGGGGGGGGG